TGGTTTTGAATATCAGAAGTCTGTGATCAAATTAAAGGAAATGAGATGTTAAAGCATGGGACAATAGAGCATGGGCAACGTCCCTTTTCGAGTCAGTCACCGAAAGCATCAGTGATATGATTGGTTTTGTCAGAAAACTGTAATCACTGACCATTCGATGTCATCGATGACTTGGATGAATCATTACGCCGGGGGCGTTATCCGCCTTAAAGCCGAGTTATGCGGGTTACCGGCATGTTTTCCCGTGCCTCCTGTGCTAGACCGGCGTGTTCGCCAGCCGGCGGTGCGCTGCGGCGCCGGCTGGGTCTGGCGGCCGGTCGGTGGTCTCCTCTCCCAGCGGCGGCCGCGGCCCGTTCCAGATGGCTGGGCACCGCCCGCAGCTGGGGTCGTTGAAACGACCGCCGATCACGTGCGGCCGGCGATGCTCCGGCCGCCGCCGTGCACCCGAGTCGGAGGTACAGACCGCCACCGCACGCCCGAGTCGGGAGGCACGCCGCGTCGGGGGTACAGGCCGCCGCACCGTACGCCCGCGTCGAGAGGTACAGGCCGTCATCGGACGCCCGAGTCGGAAGGCACAGGCCGCCGCCGTACGTCTGGTTCAGGAGGCGCAGGAGCAGGCGCCCCACCCGCCGCCCGCATCTATGCAGCAGGCTCAGCAGCCCACTGTTCGGCAGTGTGTGGGCTGACTCAGCGCTGGCTGACATCGGGTTGACGGACTGTTCGTCCGCCAAACTCCCAGCAACGGCCTCAGGTAGCTGAGTATTCCACGTAGACGGGTGTGTTGCTGTATTTCAGACGCTGCGCAATGATCTGATCTGAATGAAAATTCGCGAGCAGACAAGAAAGGTACGATTATGCGCATCTCCTTTATAGCAGGCGGTGTGGTGCTGTGTTACCAAAGATACGTTTTGTTTTAATACAAACTCAGGTGAGTTTCTTAGCAGAGATGCAAAGCGAGGCGCGTTTCTGCAGGTATGTATCAATGCGACAGATGCGTTTAAACTGGAAGTTTTATGTTCCAGAGGTTTACTCATGACGTTCTGAGATCGCACTGAGCTCTTATAGCATATAAATAACATCAGTTCAGTTCAGTTCAGTTCATACAGTTCAGTTTATACAGTACAGTTCAGTACAGTTCATATATATATACATATATATATATATATATATATATATATATATATATATATAACATCACATAAACGACTCATGACGACCTAAGGCGTATTACTGTATGCCCTATAGCTTCGTTCAAAGTGATGTAAATGACATCATCGACCAATCGATTATTTTACCAATGGACAGATACAAGTTCAGTGCTGTTTCTGAGCTGGCTCAAGGTTTGCTCGTGAAGCCTTCATAGCGACTAAAAAGACGAAATTAGAGATATGTGTAGCAATGCATCCGTATCAGTACGACAATACTTGCTTTCCCTCCGAAGTTCTATTTGAACTCAAACTTGAGTGCCAGTATTTAAACGACATCGTACAGGCAGGAAGATGGATCCTGCATCAGGGTACCCACTCGTCGCACTTCTTTCCAATTGAGTGGTTCATTGTGAATGGCAGGACGTGGATCGCTGCCGACCGAGATCCTCCGTTGAAGCGATGCTCCGCGCGTCAGAAACAGACGGGTTGCGGGCCGCTCTACGTACGGCGTACGGGACCGTCACGTGGCCCGCGCGCCGTAACGGGCCGGCACGTGCCACGAACAGTGACGCAGGGACATTTGTCGTTGACTGTCGTGTACGCTGAGCTGGGCCGCCCGCCCGCTGAGCCGTGCTAAAAGTTCTCCCCCGCTGTGGCTGTCCGCGACACGTGTCCTGCAGGGACAGATGCGAGCACGTGGGTGACCGAGCGATGTCGGCGACGCCCTGGCGTCTGGCTCGTGCTCACAAGCGGCCTGGCACGCCGGCTCTGGCCCGCATACCGCCAGGTATTCGGCCCGTATAGTCGGATGGCCTGGCTGCCTACGCGCCGGAGACCGGCCGGCTGGAAGTGCATTTAGTCGTGTGGCCCACTGATGGGCGCTGAGCAGGTGCCTGACTGGGTCCCACAGGACGGAAAATCGCTTCCGATAGCAATGTGTGATGATGACGATGACCGTGTGAATCATTCGCCGTCGTTTCCGGTAACTTTTTGCCGTTAGATAGGTCAACGTTTACTGCGATCTTTCACACTAACGACCTACCGTTTTTTAACACTAAGAGAGTAGAAAAGGCATGTGTCACGCGGCATCCAAGTGTGAACGAAACGATCTCAGTATTGTATCTGTCGGCAGTTCGTTTCGGTTCGGGTGGTCGAACGTGCTCTGTTTGTTTTTTGTGTCCTCTCACTCGAAAGCTAGTGCGTAAGCAGTCCAGTTCCGTTTCACACGTTCTATAAAAGTCACTTGCCATGCGACGTCACGCACAGTTCACATGACACACAGCGGCAGAGCGGTGGCGACCACGAGCCGAGCTGGGTCACGAGACGGGAGCCGGCCATCGCTGTGACCTGGGCCGACGGAGCGACCGGCCGGCCCGGCGGCCACGCGCGGTCACGGGCCGGGAGCCGGCCGGTGCGGTGACCTGGGCCGACGGAGCGACCGGCCGGCCCGGCGGCCACGCGCGGTCACGGGCCGGGAGCCGGCCGGTGCGGTGACCTGGGCCGACCGAGCGACCTGCCGGCCCGCCGAAGACGGCGCGCGGCCGGCCATCGCCGGCAGGATCTTGACCTTTTGAAACACTCGCTGGGTGCAGTTTACACGCATTTGTCAACATCATACTGCGATTCAGGAGTCTTGAAAGGTTGATAGCGCGCGCCAACAGTTGCTTCACAAGCAGAGAATGCGGTAGCATTTCACGTCCGCCTCCTACGCTCAGGAGGTGTCTGGAGCCGAAATGGACGGAACCCAGGCTAACTTGTACAATGTATGGAGTGTGGGGAGCATTCGTTGGATTTCGAATAAACGTGTTGTCTGTCGTGGGTGTACCCCACTTTAAAGTAGCTGTTGTAGCTGTCTATGCTTCCCCTGCGGTTAGATACATCTGTGTTCGTCGGGCGGGCAGAAGCGGCCGGCACCGCTCTGTGGTCACAGTCGCCTGCTGTTGTCCGACGCTCAGTGCCCAGGTCAGGCGGGAGACGGTCCTCTCGAGGCGACAGCGGTGACTGGACTGGACTCCGATTTGCCGGCTCGCTGCTGAGCTTCAGGTGCTGGTGTCTCTGTCGATGCGGCGCACAGGGCGATCCGGCGCGAAACGCTAGAGTTGTTGGCGGTCGTGGTGCCTGTCGGAAGACGTGCGCGACGCGAGCTCAGTGGGGTCGTCCCTGCGGCGTGACTCGCCGAGGACCTCCGCCCCGGAGAGAGCCCGTGTCCACTCAGGCTGGACGTACGACGCTTGGGGGCGCGCTGTAGCCCGTTTTTGTCAGTTCAGTGTCCGTCTCGGAGCAGGTCGATCCCGTTAAACGATTGTGAGAAGTGATGCCCCGTGGTGTCACAGCTGTGCCATGCCAATGAGGGGCTGTTAGACACGCACATCGTGAACTCCGTCACTGAAGGGCAGCAGGCGTGGCAGGTTGGCGAGTGCCGTCCCCCGGATGGGCCCGGCGGCCTGTCCCGGAGCCGGGCGGGCGGCGGGGCGGCGGGGCCCGGAGGACAGACGGCGGGACGGTGGAGCCGGGCGGGCGGCGGGGCCGGGCGGGACAGACGGCGGGGCGGTGGGGCCGGGCGGGCGGACGGCGAAGCGGCGGGCGGTGGGCGGCGGGGTGGCCCAGTCGCGCAGGGTCGCGCCGTGTACCGGGGCGGTCCGGGCCGGTTGCGCCCCGTCGGCACGCTCTCACCGTCCCACAGCGCGCCGTCAGCCCGGGCCTCTCCATCTCCCCTGGCCGGCAGCGAGCATTAGTCAACACGGCCGCTCTGGTCACGCCACGTGTGACCAGCCAAACCAAACGTTGTGCGCATATGGTAGGCGTGTTATAAAAATGGTGGTTCCAATATGGTGGAGAGCTTCAGCTCCTTCCTGGTTCGCTACACTTAGTCACAGAGCCTTATGTCGTTCTGCTGCGTTACGGGATTTCAGCTGCCCATTGACTCCACGATGCATGCATGCGCTGTGTCACGGCCATGTGCATTGTGCAGCGTGTGCTGAGCGGGCTGTGTCGGCGCCGCGGTGAATCGCCGTCCGGCAGTGGCCGGAGCGGCGCGCCGGCCGGCCGGGAGCGTCTGGCGGCGGCGCCAGTCGGGTCCCACCTGCGCCGTCCGGTGGCCACAAAAACGGCGCGCGCGCCGCGGTTCCGGTGCCGGCCGGCGGCCCCTTCCGGCCCAGTGGTCAGCGCTAGCCGCCGCCTCTCAGTAGCTGTCCATAACCGGGCGGCGGCCGCAGCGGGCGCCGCCCCCGCAGCGGCCGGTCACCACCGCACGGCCGTCTGTCTGGCTCTGCAGACAGGCGACACGGGCCAGGTGCGAGCCGACCAGACTGGACCGGACCGGCGGCCATTCCGGCCACGCATCCGGCGCCGGGGCTTCCTGGACCCTCACTGACCTTGTCCGTCCCCGGGGGGAGGGGGGGGGGGGGCGGTGAGGGTGTTGATTGAGGGTGAGCGCCAACGTGTTGATTGGAATGCATTGCAAATACAAAATTTCAGGCTTCTTTCGTTTCAAAGATTGACTATTTTCAGCCTGATGTCACAACGGAACTTGATAGGCGCCTCTTGGTAGCATCCATTAAGTGAACTATGGGATGCTTTACAAATAGTGGCACCGCGTACCGTTGTATCCATTCGTGTTTGGTACCGCGGCTTATCCGTGTCTGGGGTCGGGCATGCGGTCGGCGCACGGCTCCCTTCCGTTCTAGCAGCAGTCGCCTACCGTTCGTGACACCCTCGGACATGTATGACCGTGTGCCATATCGCCGCCTCGCATCGCTCATTTCGCGCGGCGCGCCGCTCCACCGCCGTGTGTCCGGCTCTGTTCGCCGCCCGACGGCTTGCCAGATTTCCAGCCAAATACGAACGACACATTCTCGAGCATATATTGAGACATGGTATGAGCGCTGGGGTCGTCCGTTGACGAGCTGGGCGGCACGGTCCGTGAGGAGGGCCGGCGGTGTGAGCCGGACGGCTCCCCGCCGACAGCAGTACAGACACGCACACACACACGCACACACACGGATCACATCACAGGGGTGGGCGGCAGCACGTGCCCAGTGCCCCCGGCGCGCGCACCTGGAGGTGGCGGACCCGCCCTCCGCGGGCGCTCAGTTCGCGGCGGCAGTTTCACTTGCGACAGACGCCCTGTCACACGCTCAGCAGCAGCACTCATTGTACGCGCGCTATCAACAACCGTCCACCCACCGAGCTAAGTACGCCGCTCGCGCGCCGTTTACTGACGCCTGACGCGGTGCGGGCTCTTCCCGCCCGGCCGCCTCTGCGTAGCTACTGTCCTGGTGCAGGTATGGCTGCTCGTTGTATACTGATGAATCGCGGGGCTCGCTGCCCTCTGTTTGTGGATCACCGGGGCGAGATGCATATTGGTGAGTTAGGGGTGAGTCCGTGACGTCACCGTCGGGCGCGCCGGCCGTCATCTATTGGCTCGGGGCCGGCGACGGTGCGCTCGCGACCCCGCCGTGTCATGAGCTTCCGAGCGCCCCACCGGTCGGCGCCGGCGGCTGCTGACGTCAGCGGATGACGTCATCCGCTGATGTCACCGGCGACTAGTGCTGGGGCCGAACCGGCGCCCGCGGCCGACGCCGTTCACAGCTGCACCAGGCTGCTGCCGCGCGCCGTCGCGTTGGCCGCCATGTAGATGTCCATGTCGTGGTCGGTCCAGCCGTCCGTGTCGTCGGTGAAGTGGCTGGAGAGCCGCGAGGCGGAGCGGTCGCGCGACGCCGACGGCCGCCGACTGCGGCGCCGCTCGCCGCCGAAGCCGGAGGCCAGCGAGGTGCGGGAGGTGCGCAGCTCTGCGGACGGCGCGGCAGGGTTAGGGCAGGAACACCGCCGGCGGCCAGGCCAGACAAGCCAGTACAGCACCAGACGAGGAGACGAGAGCGAAATAAGACGAGCGAGGCGGGGGCACCTCACGACAGCGGGCGAGGCGTCCGTCAGCAGCGACCAGCGTAAACACCCCGCTCTGCCCAGCAGTGACGGCGGACGCACCAAGAGGAGTCGGCATGCGGACAGGGCGGGCGACAGGCGGAGAACGCGACGAGGCATACCTACCACCAGGGGGCGAGAGCGGCGCGCGCGCTCTACAGGGGTATGTCATGCTGCGGCCCGCACAGGTCACTAAGTAAGGCATCCTGCCACAAACTCCGCGACGAGCTGGCCGAACCTACCAGAGTGACAGAGACACGCGAGTGGTCAGTGTCAGCTGGCGCGCCGGCCGGCCGGCAGGGGGCGCGGCGGGGTACGGCAGAGCCGGGACATACGGACTACGGGCTAACCATTACCAGAGGAGTTGACTGAACGAATTTCATGCACGACTCGGCGGAGTAAACACGGCTACCGGTGAAATTGTAGCGCACTGTTGGTGACATTGTATTCACCTGCCGGAAACGCTCCAATGCCAACTCTGCTCATGTCCTCGAAAGCATAGGAATGAAATACATGAGAAGTTGAGAAAATGAGAAAACTACTTAACATTATGAAAATAGTAATATTTCCACATTTGATCAGTTTCATTGGCCCAGCATAGATGGCTCATTTTCTTAGATGACAATTTCTGTAATCAGGTTTTTGATAGGGTTCTTTGATGACCCTAGAATATCCCAAGAATCCTAGCGTCCCAGGGCACTCTTCATCATGGCCGTCGGACGCTCCGGGGTCGATGTTAGCGGGCTGTGATGTCTGTGCCACGGCCGGCGCGCATGAGGCCGGTCGGTGGGCCGGTGCACGCGCCACTGACCTGGTCGGGGCAGCGCCAGGCCCGGGCCGCCGGCGCCGCCGCCGCTGTGCGCCGGGAAGTGACCCGACATGGCCGAGTAGCTGCGCAGCGATTGGCCGTCGGCCAGACTGCGGCGTCGCCAGGAGGCGCGCGACGCCTGCGAGCGCACCTCGTCGGCCAAGAAGGCGTCCCTGCCGGCGCCGCCTGCCGACACGGGGCGCGAGGCCGCTCAGCACGGCCAGCGGGCGACATGCCACGTGCCACCCATGCCACGGTCCGGTACACAGGCCAGCTCAGGCATTGACAGTGCGTTCCGTCCTTACGTTGCGTGATCGACTGATGCATCGCATTCCATGAGGCATTCATTCCGATCCGCGAATGGGTGCGCCGGCAAGTCATGCAGTACGGTGTCGTCGGCGGGCTCGCTGCCGTTGTGCGCGTGCCGCACACCCGCCAACTCACCCTTGCTGTCCATGTGGTACATGCGGGCGCGTGGGATGCTGCGGTGGCTGTACATGGAGAGCTGGTCCCAGTCCTTGGCGCCTCGCAGCGTGCCCATGCTGGCCAGCGGTGGCGCCGGCGTGGCCGGCAGCACGCTCGGCAGCGGCTGCTTGCGGTCGGCGGCGCGCCGTCGGTTGCAGCAGACGAACACGACCACGGCTATGATGATGGTGCCGCAGATGGCGGCGCTGGCCGCGATCACGAATGTGTCCATGTGCGTGGGCGCGGCGGCGTCGGTGCGGATCTCGCGGCACTGGCGCGGCGGCACCGTCTCCGGCGAGATGTCGATGTCCTCCAGCGACACCACGCACACCACGATGCACTCCTGGCTGGGCACGTTCTTGATTTTGAACTCCTTCTCGGAGGGCGCCAGCGGCGGACCCTGCTTGAACATGTCGTCGCCGAACAGGCGGTACACCACGCGGAAGCCGAGGATGTTGGGCACGTCCGACTCCCACTGGATGACGACGGCGCTGCCGCGACGGTACGCGTCCTGCACGCGCACCTCCTCGCCGAACGGGCTGCTGCGCGACGCGGCGCCGCCGGCGCCGGCGAACGTCTCTGGTTTGAAGATGAGGCTGGGTCGGGCCGAGGGGTCGGCGGCGGCCGGCGCCGGCGGCTCAGAGGCGGGCGGTGCGCGCCGGTACGGCGGCTGCGTGTACACGGGCCGGAAGGTGGTGGCCGCCGGCCGGCGCGTGATCTGCACCTCGGCCGTCGGCCGACGCGTCGTTGCCGCCGTCGTCGTCGTCGGCGGCGGCGGCCGCGTCGTCGTCCGCCGACGCGCCGTCGTTCGTCGACGCTCCGTCGTCCGCCGACGCTCCGTTGTCGTCTCTACAGACGAGGACGGCGGCCGACCCTGGGTAGTCGCGTCGGCGCACACGAACTCTGCAATAGCGGAGCACTGTCAGCGATGTGGCACGCGGCCTATTTTGTTCGGTTCGGTTACGTTGATGTGAAGAGTCCTAAACGCATGTTTGTTGCGGGCGACGTGCAACCACCAACGACCCACAAAACACGCCTTGGTCTCAGTACATAAAACATATGCCGCAGTTCCAAACCCACAACGCGCACATTCGTCGTTTAGGGCCCACCGCTGTGTGCCGGCCGACGCACCGGCGCGCTGCCGCCGCCGGCGGAGGAGCCGGCCGGAGCGGGCGGCGCGCGCTGACGGCCGCTGCTCACCCTCGGCGTTCAGCTGGTAGAAGGTGCGGTCGCGGAACTCGGGCGGACTGCCGCAGAACTGCGGGTTGCGCTCCCTGCTGGTGACCTGCAGGTCGGTGTCGCGGATCCAGCGGGCGATCCAGCGGATGCGACAGTCGCAGGTCAGGAAGCGGCCGCCCAGGCTGAGGCCGCGCAGTGTGGCGCGTAGGTGATCGAACGCCGCCTCGGGCAGCGTAGACAGCGGGTTGCCGTCCAGTGCCAGCAGCGTCAGCGACCGCATCGCCAGCAGGCAGTCTTTCGGCAGCTGCGTCAGCAGGTTGAAGCCGATGTCGAGCACCTGCGATGGCGGCAGATGGCGGTCAGAGGCTGGCGGTGCGGCGCTGCGGGAGATGGTCCATGCTGTGCATACACAGGCCACAGACTGGCGAGCGCATGTCCACAACAGACCGACGCCAGTCCTACGTCACCGCATCGCATCACGACGCACAGCGCGCGATGAAGGTCGTCAATGGGTGGAACAAAAGTTATGAAATACAGGAGTTGACAAAGTGCAGCAAAGTGTGTGTGTGTGTGTTTGCTTGCTTGCTTGCTTGCGTGCGTGCGTGCGTGCGTGCGTGCGTGCGTGCGTGCGTGCGTGCGTGCGTACTTGCGTGCGTGCGCGCGTGCGTGCGACTGGCGGAAAAGCGGGCGAAGAGCGGCGCGGCGGCCGGTGGCCACTCACCCGCAGCCGGCCCATGATGGCCATGGCCTCGGTCGGGAAGTCGGCGATCAGGTTGTTGAGCAAACTGAGAGAGCTGAGCGTGTTGTTGACGCCCTCGAACACGGTGCCGTCCAGCACCTGGATGAGGTTGCGCTCCAGGTTGAGCGCCGTCAGCGACTCGAGGCCGGCGAAGGCGCGCGGCGGCAGCTGCGTGATGCTGTTCTGTGCCAGGTCGAGGAAGGCCAGGCTGGAGAGGCGCTCGATGCCGTCCGGCAGCGTCCGCAGGCCCGTGCCCTTCAGATTGAGGTTTTTGAGCGTCTTCTCGAGGCCGCTGAAGGCGTCGGCGCTCACCGTCAGGTTGTTGTCGGCCAGCTTGAGCGTCTGCAGCGACAGCGTCTTGAACGCGTCGTCGGGCACCAGCGTGATGCGGTTCTTGGAGAGGTCGACCAACTGCAGTCGCTTCAGCTTCTGCAGCGCGCCGGTCGGCACCTCCGTCAGGCTGTTGCCGGCCAGGTTGATGTTGCGCAGCCGCGACTCGAGCCCCGAGAACGCGCCGTCGGCGATCGCCTCCAGGTCGCAGTCGGAGAACTGGATGTTCTGCACGGGGATGTTGGCGAACACGTTGTTGGGCAAACTGGCGATGGTGCTATTGGTCACGTACAGCAGGTCCAGCTCCTGGTTGGGGATGGCCGCCCGCAGCGCGCCCAGCAGCCGGCTGAAGTCGACGAACTGGCACTGCACGGAGAGCTGGGTGGCGGCGTTGTAAGCGCAGACGCACGAGCCGTGCAGGTCTGCCATGTCTCGCGGCCAGGGGCACTCGGCGCGCGCGGCCACCGCCCAGGCGGCCGTCAGCAGCGCCGCGCGTCGCCACAGCATGGCGCCGCCGCCGCCTCTGCAACAGAGCCCGCGGTCAGACTAGCACCGGCGACTGCAGCGCCGCAGAGGGTCGTCCGCCGCCGCCGACTCACACACACGGCTGTGGCGAGACGCCGACCGTGCCGGGGCGCCGCTGGGCGAGCGGCCGCTCCGCCGAGGCGCCGGCTGCGACCCGTCTTCACCCCGACCACCGCCGGCTCTGGGTGAGGGCAGCGTCCCGTGGCGCTGCCTGGACGCTGCCCAGTCTGCCTGACCCCAACTGTCCGCGTTTGTGAGCCGGACACGCGGCCGGCCGGCCAGTCCCGTGGGCCGCGCTAATGAGCGCCTGTCGGGGGCCCACCGGCCATTCGTGTAGCAGTCGGCCCATGCCGAGGTGAGCGCCCGCCCAAACGCTGACTGACCCACCCAGACCCAGACCTTGCCTTGCGTAATGCAGTCGCGGTCTGTTTGCAGATTGTCAGCCCACATGCCCCGTGAGGCTTTGTGTACTTTAGCTCGGCCCTTACGCAATCCCATATGCCTATTCATCCTTGTCAGCCAAACAGTGGCTCCATACAGTTCGTGGGCTGTCCGTTCGCCACCGTTGTGTTGGTTCACGCCTGTCTGTCTATTCCCCGCCGCGGTCGTTTGCCGCACCAGGGGCCGCTTGTAGCACATGCCCGGTATGTGACCCCGGCACCTCGTCTGTGCGCCTGTCTGCCCTAGCTGTGATGCTCCACGGTTCATGGGTCTGTGCTGGCTGGCCGTTTTTGTCGGTCTGTGCCGGCCTCCCTTGCCGGCCGCGAGTGCTCGCCGGGCCGGCTGGGCCGCGGGTGCCGGTTGTCCCCACGCGGCCCTCCTCTGAGCGTCCCACTGCTCCCCATCGGCCCCGTCCCACTGGCCCCCACCGGCCCCGCCCCACTGGTCCCCAGCGTCTGGCGGTCAGGATTCCTGCCGGTCCCGGCCCCGGCCTCCGTTCTCCGTCCCAGTCCTGCTCCCGGCTCCAGCCCCGCTGTCAGTGGTAGAGGCGGTGGGATGCTGGCGGCTACCAGCGCCGGCTGCTGCGCCGGCACCATCCGCCGGCGCCGGCCGGCCGTCAGCTGCGGGCGGCGCCGCTGCTGGGAGGACCGTTCCGGCCGGCCGGCGCCCGGGACGCCGCGGCTGGTCATTGACCGCCGGCGCCGGCACGGCACGGGACGACGCCGGCCCCATCCCGGCCGGCTCCCGGCCGCCGTTTAGTCACCCGTGACGTCACACGGCGTGCGTGACGTCACACGGCGTGCGGCGGACTGGCGTGGTAACTGGCGGCTCGCCGTCGGCCTGACCGCTGACCCGTCGCACGCAGCCGCCACGGGGGTCCTGGCGACGGTCTGTAATGTGCGGCCGTTATGTTCCTTCTCTCACCCACCTCTCACTAACAGACACACCGTTGCTGTCTGCGCCGGCCTCTGCCGCCGTCTGCCGGTGTGTCCGTCTCTGTCTGTTCTCCGCGTGTTTTACCCGCTCCATCAGCATGCGTGTCCTGGCCTGAGACGAACTGTCTCACGATGCGCACCGCTGTGGGGCTGCGTAAGACAGGCAAGGGTGAACAGCTTGAGCGATCATTGGTGACTAGCGAGTCCACGTCCCTTGCCAGTGCTCGCGTGTGTCTGATCTCCGAAGGTACTACAGACGCGTCGTGTGAGCCAGCTCCGGGCCAACGGCAGCCAGAGGTCACCACGCATCACTCCAATCGCAGCACGCATCACGGCGCTCCGAACATCGCCACTCTTTGTGTTTTAGTCGAGCGGACAAGGTCGAAATCAAATGTCACGTGGTGTGGTGTGCCCCGTTGGAACTGCACAGTGTGGCTGGCGGTTGATTATCTGCGGAGGGTCCGGGTCGGAGCATCGAGTCCCACCCCCTGCCAGTCAGCATCTGGCATCTGACACGTGCACCGGTCTGTCGGGCTAAGCAGCGCAGACACAAGGACGGGAGTAGAAAGTGCTTTCGACACAACGCTGCCGATTAGCAGGCTCTAGATGTCTCACTCGGCTCTGGGTCCGAGAATCGAGACGGCAAGCGGGCTCGTCCGGTGGACCGGAATGGGGCGGAAGGTGAGCGCGTCGCGCGTGGGCTGACCGGTCTGCGCACCAGTGTCGCCACACCTGTGTCGGGAGCGACGGAGCCGAGCGGCGCCGGTCCCCCGCCCGGTCCTCGGAGCTGGCCCCGGTCAGCCTGACAGACCGCTGCAGCTGGGGATCTCGCCTGGTCGCCGGCGCGGCGTCCGCCGGCCGCCTGGGGGCGTGCGATCCGCGTCATCCCCCGCGCCCGGTCACAGCCACCTCCCGGTCAGTCAGCGGAGCAGGCCCGTGACGGGCCACCGCTAGCTCTGCGCGCTCAGGTGCCGCCGCGCTGGGAAGTGGTGCCGTCCGATGGCTGGCGTCGGTCCTGCTCGGCCAGTCGCCGCCGCGTGGCGAAGTGCGCCGGCGCCGGCCCCCTCCCGGCGCATACATTAGCTGGCCGCCCATCCGGCCGTGACGCGCTCCTCGGACGCGCAGTAACGGTGCCACCGGCGGGGAGGCGCGCCTCGCCCGGAATCGCGCGCGCGCATTTGATTATTACATCCGGCGCGACCGCAAACGACGCCGACTGACTGGCGTGTTTGTGACGCCGCAGGAGCGGGCCGGCCGGTCGGGTGGTGATGGTCCGGCACCCAGGAGGGCCGGTCGAACGGTCCGTTGGGGAGGACCCAGAGACCGCGGAACCGACGGTCCGGTGGGAGAGGGGTCGGAGACGGCTGACGGTCCACTGGCAAGGATTTGGCGTTGACTCGCCGACCGCCGGCGATGGGTAGCGCCTGTCCCCGACACCAGTCCCATCTACAGGAGCTCCCGGGCACCGATGACATGCCCTGACCTGCCATGGCCTGGGACGGGGCTGCGCTTCGCCCCGGCCGTGACAGCGGGGCGAGGCAGTCCGGAGCAGGCGTCCTCCAGCAGTCTGGCCGGTGCTGGAGGACGCGCCGGCTCCGGCGGTGTGAACGACCAGCGCCGACGCCAGCTGGCAGCCACCTGGCGCCGGCGACTCTCGGTTTCGGCGCCGCCGCGTCCGAGGCCTTCCGCCTCTGAGGCCGGCGGCTGCTCCCGCCCGACGCCGCGGCACGGCCGCTGTCGGCGTGTTTGCTGGCTGGTGGCGATCCTGCCCGTATGTGCGAACCGGTGAGGATGGTGGACGCACCTACCATACGGGCTAATGAGGATAGTCCGTGTACGTACGGACTAGTGAGGATGGTACATGTCCAGGTTGCTGGAATCGTGCGTGTTCGCGTCGGCAGCGGTGCGCGTCGGCGGAGACGAGAATGGCATTGATACCGGCTGCACCGAGAATGGCGCCAGCGGCGTCTGGGCGTGACGCGCCACCTCGTCCTGCTCCAGATACGCAATGTTGCGTCACGCGCCCTGCGACCCAGCAGCGAATTCCTGTTTTCTGGAAGAGTCCACACGCGATTGATACGTGCCGCGTCTTTGGGCGTGGAATGGAGACGAAGTGCCGCCGCCGCCGCCCGCCCGCTGGCGCTGCCATGAGTATGCATGAGGTGCATGGACGGGCTCCTCGTGGCGAAACAGAGGCCGCGGCTCGCGAACAGGCCGCGTCTAACCCAGTTTGGCTGAAATGGGTGTCGAAAACGGCGCTGTTTTCCTCACACGCCACAGTCGGGCTCGCTGCCGGCTCCGAACGCCGCCGGCTCGGCACCGAGCGGCGGCGGGCCGCGAGAGGCCGTCGGGGGCGGCCCGCACCCCGCAGACTGGAGCGTCCTGTGGCGGCGGCCGCGAGTGACGCCCCCCCCCCCCCCCGCGGAGGGCCGGGTGTCACAATCTCGTCACACGTCTCTGCTGAGAGCTGGCAGTGACCGTCATCGGTGCCCAACAAACCGACGTGACTCAGTGACGCCCTCCGACGAACGGACAGACCGCTGCGCTGGCGTTCTGGCGCCAGGGTCACTCTCACGCCACGGTGACCGCAGCTGAACGGCCGGTCAAGGCGGCGACCGCGGCTGGGCGGCCGGTCAAGGCGGTGACGGCCGCCGCTGCGGACCACCGGGCGGGGGAGGGGGAACCCGAGGCCCGCAGACAGACCTCCGTCTCGGCAGGGCCGCGAATCGGTCCGAGCCGGCCGGGAGTCCGTGTCAGGTCGGGAGTCCGTGTCAGGTCGGAAGTCCGTGTCAGGTCGGAAGTCCGGGCCGGGCCGGGAGTCCGGGACGGCCCGGGAGTCAAAGCCGGGAGTCCAAGCTGAGCCGGGAGTCCGGGCCGAGTCGTGAGTCCGAGCCCGACCGCGAGTCCGAGCCATGTCGGGAGTCCAGGCCGGGAGTCCGGTCCGTATTTGTCCCACCTGCCTGCTGACCGTGCCGGCGGTCGGCAGGTACGCGCCCGCCTCAGTCGTGCGTCCTCGCCTCCCGGGAACGGCGCTGGGACTTACCGACCGACCCGGCAGGCCAGGCAAGGTCGATTGCATGGCGTTGACGCATGCCTTCGTGACACAGATAACCATTAACGGAAGGTCACGGGGCAACTCAATTTGGGGTCAAGGTAAACGTGTCGGATAGTGCGAAATATATTGCTCGGAGACGGTCGTAATTCCGAGTGTTTAAGGCTCAGTAACCTGCTTAGCCGTAGGTCGATTTCTGAGGCGATGTTTGCATTCAGCACTGCTCGGTATCAGCCCTCGTCGGCGGCTCGCGAGAGCGCCCTCGCTGCAGGTCGTCGCTCCCTGACGACCTTGCGCCGGCGGTCGCCGATCCCCGCCCCCACCCGGTCCCTCCGAGGCACGCGAGCGGTCCGTGCCGCCGGCCGGCTGCTCCTCGAGGAGGGGGCTGATTCACGCGTCGGTCGGCCGGAAGCGGGACTGCAGCACGTCACCGGCGCCACCCTGACCGGGGCGTCCCGGCGGCGACGGCGGGACCGGCTACCGCCGCCGCCGCCGCCGCCGGCACGGCGCCGCTC